CCACGAAGAAACCGACCATGAAACCAAGATTTGCCAAGGCTCTACAAGCCTTCCCTGAAGAGGATGAAGGAGACTCGAGCAGTGAGGACCACGAGCCGGCGGGAAACGGATTGGTCCTGCTGTAGACGGTGCGGAATGGCAGGGCCCTCAACTAGAGGAGCCAAATGTGGTGAGCAACCCCCCTTCCCTTTTTTTGTGACTGTTTTGCTGTTGAACCCAACCCTCGGGACCCACCTGAGAGCAAAGGCTCTTATTGACTCAGGGTGCGGGAGAGACTTAATAAGCTCCTCATTAGTTGCGGGACTTGAGGTTGGGGTGATGAAATTAAAAGACCCCTTAATTTTCACTCAGATGGATGGGTCCACGATGAAAGACCCCTGCATATACGAGACTGTACCACTATGAATGGGGGTGGGAGATCATTGGGAGTCCCGGTCCTTTGTGGTCACCCCAGCAGCCCGTTTTCCCCTCATATTGGGAGCTCCTTGGCTGCACGGGCACAATCCTTATATCCTATGGGAGGAAGGGAGGGTGCAGTTCGTATCACCCCGATGCCAGAGACACAGATGGGACCCTAAGTGGGGAGAGAAACCCCCCCTCGAGGCTCCAAGAGCACTATTAGCCCAAGAGGAACTGCTTTCCATTCCTCCGGAGTATCGGGACTTGGCTAAGGTGTTCGGGGAGGAGGAAGCGGATGAGTTACTGCCCCATAGACACTCAGACTGTAGCATCGAACTGGTGCAAGTGGCGAAGCTGCCTAAAGGGCGGATTTATGCAATGGGGCCGGCCAAGAAAGAGAAACTGAGAAAGTTTATCGATAAAAACCTGGCGAGAGGTTTCATCCGGCCGGCTTCGTGCCCTTTTGTGGTGCCTGTACTCTTCTGGAAGAAAAAGGATGGGGGACTGAGGCTCTACACGGATTACCGGGGTTTAAATGCAGTGTCCTCTACCAACGCCTACCTGATGCCTTTGATCAAAGACTTGCTAGCCGAGGCTGCAAAGGGGAAGATCTTTTCTAAGCTGGACTTAAGAGACGCATACTTTAGGGTGCGCATAAAGGAAGGTGACGAGCCGAAAACCGCTTTCAACACTCCCCTGGGCCAATTTGAATACCTGGTGATGCCGTTCGGACTTCAGGGGGCCACGGGGGTCTTCATGAACTTGATAAACGAAGTGTTGTTTAAAGGGGTGCTCGTTTACCTAGATGATAGACTTTTGTACTCCCCCGATGTCCCCTCCCATGTGAAACTGGTGAGGGAGGTGTTGAACACGTTGCACAAGCACAAACTGTTCGCAAAACTGTCCAAGTGTGAATTCCACAACACACATTGACTTTCTGGGGTACCGCATTTCAAACGAGGGTCTGGAAATGGACCCGGGGAAGGTCCGAGATGTATTGGGGTGGGAAGCGCCCCGGACCAGACGCCAATTACAATCCTTCCTCTGATTTGCAGACTTTTATCGTTCCTTTTTACCCAACTTTGCCCAAATCAGCCTTCCCCTCACGGACCTTTTGAAAACAAAAGGGAAAGGTCCAGAAGCCACCAGACCCGGCGCTCCGCTGCCCTGGTCTACTGAGTGCCACGAAGCATTCATGCACTTGAAAGTCCTTTTCACCTCGGAGCCGGTGTTGGCTCACCCCGATGAGTCTAAAAAGTTCATTGTGCAAACCGACACGTCTGACGTAGCCATGGGAGGGGCTATCCTGCAAGAGGGGGAGGACAGTCTGCTACATCCTTTGGCTTATGTGTCTAAGAAATTCAATGACTCTGAAAGAAATTGGTCTGTGTGGGAGAAGGAGGTGGGGGCAATAAAATCGGCGCTTTCCACATGGAGGCATTGGTTGGAAGGGGCTAGGGTCCCCTTCGAGGTGTGGACGGATCACAAGAACTTAGAGACTCTTAAAACGCCTCATTGCTTGAATGCCAAACAACTGAGATGGGCGGACTTCTTCTCTAAGTTTCAGTTCACCCTCCATCATTTTCCGGGTTCGGCAAATTCACTGGCAGATGCCCTCTCGCGCCTCCCCCAACATGACAGTCAAAGGGACGTCATCCTTGACTCAGTGTTCACCCCCTCCCAACTAGGGGGGGGTAGTGACGACTCGCAGCCAAGCCGTTGGCAACCCGACTCCACAGCTAGTGCCAAGCTCCGCCTCACCAGCATCGCCTTGGTCTGCCCGGTTCAACTCTGCCTTCTCAGAGGCGGATCGGGAACAATTAGACGGGGTGGGAGATTGTGTGCAAGGGGAAAATGGCTGCTGGTATCAGGACCATAAACTGTACATGCCACAATCACTTAGGGGGGAGGTGATGCAATCCGTTCATGGCTCAAAGTCGGCAGGACATTCTGGCTTTGTGAAGTCTCTTCAGCTGCTGCAGCGCCAATTCTGGTGGCTGCACATGCGCAAAGATTTATCTTCGTTCATTCAATCATGTCAAGTGTGCGCCATGAGCAAACCTCGCCCTGGCAAGGTTCTTGGACTTTTAAAGCCCCTTCCCACCCCAAGCCGACCCTGGGAGGTCATTTCTATGGATTTTATTACTGATTTACCACCCAGCAAAGGGCTAATGTGTGTTAGATTCTGGTATTTTTACATGAGGTGTGATTGGGCCCTTATATATTTTTAGTTCTTTGTTAATAAATACATGTATCTTTTTATATACTATAAATATATTAAACTTTTATTGTTGGCCCTCTTTTCTATTTGACTAACCTTTTCAGGTTCTGCAAACCATTCCTCGAACAGAACAAGAAAAAGGTCTTCCCAGGCAGGCAGCAGCAGGCAGCAGAATTAATCCAAGGCACAGACAGATCAGAGCAGCAATAGCAGCACACTACTCCCCCCAAAAAATCTCACCCTGAAATGGTCAAGCTGCAGCTGGGCCTATTATTTATCCTCTTTGCCTATGCCCAGAGTGGAGAGCTAAAACACAATCATTGTGACTGGGCAGAAAATTTTAGTGCTCCCCTAACATGTGATCCTGGGAGAGCTGCCTCCCTCCCCCCTCCCTCCAGTTGTCTGGAAAATCTGTAAAACAAAACAAAACAAAAATATTCTGGGCCTTGGATCCTTAAAATGGCAGACTTGGATATTCCCAAATATTCCTGCAAACATTTGGGACCCAGATACTTGTATTCCTGGGAATCCTGAATACAACTCTAATACCCAAAGATATCCCAAAATACACTCTTGCAATAAATAATACCCTTACTGCAAAACCACAGTGAAGCCATCCTTCTAAGACGTGTTTTGTTTACAGAAAGCAACTGTTTTGATTAAAGCAGACTGGGTTGGTTCACTCACTTCAGATTAAATTCTTCCTGGATTCTTCGTTCAAATTTAAGAATGACTTACTCTGGTTTATTAATCCTGAGAAATTAAACTAGTCTGCACTACTCCATCTCTGAAGTAATTCTTTTGCATAAGAGTTTAATCTGGATTCAAACATCAATTTCATTTACTCAAGATAAAAGGAAGTAAATGAACTAAAGCATATACAAGAATTGCTCAGTATTCATTTTTAACTACGAAATAAAAGCAAGTGTCATTTTTTAATTTCCCTAAGGCATCTTGATATGGCCAAAAGTCAACAAACTCTTTCAACATTCAGTTTTACCTGGTATATCATTTCCCCCCTAATCTTACAGAGATTCACGCAACCAAACTGGTGTGCTGAGAATGTGGGATGAATGAGTGGCAGGTTGTGAAAATTAACTGAGTTGTGAAGCAATCACAGAAGTGTAACATTGTATAGCTTGAATATGGGCAGCTGGGGGGAGTTGCTTGATTTAGGTAAAGAACTACAAAAAAAGATATGAAAACTACATACACATTGACCAACAAATTAATATTCAGTACAGAGAATACATTTTCAGCACATTAGCTGGCACATGTGAACAAGCTTATAGGTAGCTATGATCACTCCTGTTTGTTGTCAGGGAAAGCAGTACATGACCAGCAATTTGATACCTAAAGCTGCATTCAGTTCAGACTTAGGAACAGACTTGTTGCCATGCTACTGAGCTTCCTCTTTCCTCCTAAATCTCTTTCTCCCTCATATATAGAGCACAACTGAAGTCTTCCTACTTTTTGAAACCTTCAATTAAACAACTTGCTATAATATCTAAATGTCTCAGAGATCCCCCACCTCACAAGCTAGGATTCTAAAACCCACATTAAACTGTGGTTTAGTCTCCTTGTTTGTGGGAAAAATGACCAAAATCCAGTTTGTTCCAAAATCTGCATTTAGATGTCACAGCAAACTTGAGTTTTGACTGATGGCTTCCAAAACCAGGAAACCTTCAATTGCACTCTGATTGCCAGGGTAGGAGGGAGGAAGAAGGGAATCTAGAAGCAAGAAAATTGGAGAGAAATGAAGATTACATTTAAGTTTTTCAGATGAGAATCTAGTTTTTACAGAAACTATTCCTTTTCAATTCATTGATACTTTTGTACATAATGTTATCCAGCTCTTGATGGAATGAATTGGACATTGTGCTGATTGCATACAGCCTTGGCACATTTCTCTTTTGTCACTGCAAAATGTAATGGTGTAATCACATTTCCTATACACCGCAGTAGCTGTCCATCAAGTGCTTTCTGTCATTCCCCCTCCACCCAGAATGCAGGGATTTCCTATTTACTTTGAACTTTCAGCCTGACATTAAACAATTCCTTGGAGACATCTAAAATTCTATTGAGTTAGAAGCTAAAGGCTGTTCAGTTGTCACTTACTACAGCACGAAGTTCAGGCTATACAGAGTGACATACTGGGCCAAGTTGGACTTATCTCACATGCTTGTTAGGAATAGTGTTGTTATACGTATGGCTGGGAAACATTGTATCTTTTTGTTAACATCCTGCTTGTGTATCTTGATCTTCAATTTTGACTGATCATTAAAGTCTTTCATTCTTCTACACAGGCCTGTTGTTGGAAGAAATTCCATAATACAAAATGGCCCCCTCCCCACATATGGCGGTATCAAGTGATACTCACATTTGGAGTGCTTGTCGCAAAGGGCAGATGCTCGCATGTCACATAATCTTATTGTCCCTTTGCTGCTGCTGTAGACAAAGGTGTTGCAGTGGTGTGGATGAAACTCTGCGGCTGTAATCACTTCCGTCAGCTCCTCCATGTTTGCTGGTTTTATATCTACAATATCTGGCACATGTGAATCAAGGCAAAACAAACAGCGCAGTCTAGAGTTCTCAACACTTGATGTTCAGGGTAGGATAAAGGATGGATTACCAGACATAAGGAAACATAGGCTGAAATTTCCAAAATAAAACAGAAACCCATTGGTACCTTAAAGGCTAATAACATTTATTTCAACGTGAGCTTTTGTGAGCCACCACTCACGTCTTTGTATATGTATGGAAATCAATCTGAGAATCCTTCTCATCAGAGAGGTTATAAAATGAATCTTTCAAGTTAGATTTACTGTGTAGGAAAAAAGGATGTAGAGAGGTCTGGACTTCATCATAAGACTGTGTCCTCTCTATACGTGTGTCTATATGTTTGTGATGGGAGCAGCCTAACGTACACTTACTTCCATCAAAAGCTGGATAAAATTGCATACAAAAGATCAACAAATCATAGTCTGCAGATACTATTGGGATTTTAAGAGAGGGTAGTGGCCACCAGTGTTCCCTCTAAGCTGAGTTAGTGTGAGCTAGCTCACAGTGTTTTAGCTTCTGGCTCACACAGGAAGGATGGCTCCAGAGCAAGCTAATTTATGCAGTAGCCAAATCACTCACTCACAGCTTTAATGGCAGTAGCTCAGAAGGTAGAATTTTTGCTCACAGGACACCACAGCTTAGAGGGAGCACTGGTGGCCACCACCACCAAATAGCAGCCATGGAAGATGGGACCAATCACAAAATTTGCCCAGGGGAGGGCAAATGTAAAACTCCAACCAATGCATCCCCCTCTGATAGAGCTGCCTGAAGACCCAAACATGACTCCTCCTGGAGTCTCCTGAAGTACCTCCTACTCCAAGGAAGTGGGAAAAAGCCAGGATTAGCTTGCTTTGGGGAAGCATGTGACTGCCAAGAAATACATGGGTGGGCACTACAGTGTTCATGAGCACCACATTGGCATCACTGGCTCAGCATGACAAGGTCTTAAGGGCTACGTGGACCTATTTGTGTTTACATTATTCCATCTATGCTCTGATTTTTTTAACAAGAGCCCCCAAAGTGGCTCACAACTTCTATAAAATGCAACAGAAACCACAAAAAAAATTAAGACACTTTTTCGTTAAAAATTAAAACTGTAAAATAAATAGACCTGTGAAAAGAAATGTGGATGGGGAGAGTGCAGAACAGACTGAAAAATTGTTTTAAAATACTGAACTCAAAATACACAACACATCGGAAACTATAGCTAACCAAACAAACAACGCCTCCCCTCACATGAAAAATATTTAGTTCCTCTGAACATGGGACTAGGGAGAAGATGAAAGGGCAACTCCAAGCTGGTTCAGTAGCAGGCCTGTGATTCAACAGGGTTAAAACTCCAGTTTCACTGAGGCCCTCAAATTCACACACTGAAGCCTTTTCAGTCTATGTTTTACCATGGGTATTCGTTCCTTTCAATACAAGACATTTTGTCTGAGATAGTTCTGATGGTGACCATGCCTATCAGGATGATCACATATAGCATATTCTCCCCGTACACATGGTAAAATGTACCAACTGAAAAGGCCTTGGATCCATGATGAATTGGAATTTGATTGAACCAAGCTATTTTGCATCAGGTTCTGTACAGGAAAAGAGAAGTGCATGGGTGAACACAGCAACAAGCTGTTTTTACGCACTATTAGAGTTCAATCACAGTTTACTGAGACATTTAAATGCAGCTTGTGTCTTCACCTGCCTTCCTCCCTTTCCTGGCATTTGGTCTTTCCCCTCCTGGCATGATTTTAATCATTCAACAATGTACAAATAGGCTTTCTGCTGTCTGTCACTAAGAAGTTGGCTTTGTCGTCTTCTCTGATCACATATCTTAATTTGAGCTATGTTAACTACATCTTTCCTCAGGGTGTTAGCCACACAGTGTCCACAGAATAAAGTTGGTTTCTTTTAATGAAAGGCTGAGTGATATAACAAAAGTTAATGAATCACTTACTGCTCTGTTTAATTGTTCTGGATATCATTCCAAGATTGGTGCATATATAATAATACTTAATTCACATCAACTGTATCAGATGTAGGGATAGTCACTCATCACTGAGTGAGAAGTGTATCTCTGTCTGTGATGCACAGGCTGCAATCTCAAGAGTGCTTTCCAGGAAGTAAGCCCCGCCCATTAATAACATAAGAACATAAGAGACGCCAATGTTGGATCAGGCCAAAGGCCCATCCAGTCCAACACTCTGTATCACACAGTGGCCAGAAATACCAGTGCCATCAGGAGGTCCACCAGTGGGGCCAGGACATTAGAAGCCCTCCCACTGTTGACCCCCCCCAGCACCAAGATGACAGAGCATCACTTGCCCCAGAGCCACTATCTATACCTTGTTGCTAATAGCCACTGATGGACCTTTGCTCCATATGCTTATCTAATTCCCTTTTGAAGCCGTCCATGCTTGTAGGCGCCACCACTTCCTGTGGCAGTGAATTCCATGTGTTAATCACTCTTTGGGTGGAGAAGTACTTCCTTTTATCCGTTCTAACCCGATCGCTCAGCAATTTCATTGAGTGCCCACAAGTTCTTGTATTGTGAGAAAGGGAGAAAAGTACCTCTTTCTCTACCTGCTCTATCCCATGCATAATCTTATAAACCTCAATCATGTCACCCCTCAGTCGTCATTTCTCCAAGCTAAAGAGCCCCAAGCGCTTTAACCTTTCCTCATAGGGAAAGTGTTCCAACCCTTTTATCATTCGAGTTGCCCTTTTCAGCACTTTTTCCAAAGCTATAATATCCTTTTTAAGGTGTGGTGACCAGAACTGCACACAGTATTCCAAATGAGGTCACACCATTGATTTATATAGGGGCATTATGATATTGGCTGATCTGTTTTCAATACCCTTCCTATTGAGGAAATTGGGGAAACTGGTTTCAAAGCTTCTGACATCATGCCAATTCTCCTGCTAAACCAGACCCTTTAAAATGGATTGAACACAAAGCCTGGCAAAGAAAGCCTCCGTGAAACCCGAAGACCGACCCACAGGGAGAAGTCCTGAGAACACAAGAGAAGCCAGGTGTGATCAAGCCAATGGCCATCCGGTCCAACATTCTGTTTCACACAGTGGCCAAAACCCAGATCCATAAAAGGACTTGTCCTTTTATCCCATGATTTTTGAGCTTACTTAGGAGCCTTTAATGAGGAACTTTATCAAAAGCTTTCTGGAAGTCAAGATAAATGATAAATAAAGTGGGACATACTTATGAGCAGACCTGCTCAGGCAGGCTTGCTCCCACAGTTATATACAATAGTTATATCAGAAGTGGATAGGTGGATGTCTGATTTTTTTTAAAAAAAGAACAGCTCTCTGATGAATATTCTAGATTTTCTAAATATTCAACATATGAATTTGTATTTGTAAGTGCTTCCAGGAATGGTGTGCAATGCAGGTACAAAGAGTCCTACAGACAAAGGAAGATAGTGAAGTATGGAAATCTATAATCTGTGTAAGGAGACATGCCAACAAAAACTTTGATTGCATACCTACGGGACCGCCTTTCCTGTATATACCCCAGAGAGCACTACAGTCTGGGTCTCAAAATCGGTTAACCCTCCCTGGCCCAAGGGAGGCCAGGCTAGCTGCTACTAGGGCTGGGGCCTTTTCGGTGGTGGCCCCTACCTGGTGTAATGAGCTCCCGGAGGAGATCAGGGCCCTGCGGGACCTCTCACAGTTCCACAGGGCCTGCAAGACGAAGCTCTTCCGCCAGGCATACAATTAGGGGCCGCTGCCCAAGTGCACAGCCCGTAATGTTAACATCGAGCAGCTGCCTTAAGAACGAGCAGAATAACATAACACTTTATGTGGAATAACATCGGAGTACTTTGTTGGAAAGCACTTTATTTGTTTGATTTTTAACTGCCGCCAGTATTCTGATATTTTGTAATGTTCTAATTTAAAGGCTGTGTTTTAATTCTGTATTATTTATGTTTTTAGTTGAAAGCTGCCCTGAGCCTGCTTTGCGGGGAGGGCGGGGTATAAATTTGACTATAAAATAAATAAATAAATAAATAAATAGATCTACTCTATTCCATTTCTTATACTGAATGATCATACTTCATACCAGTCAACTTTTATGTAATTAACTCATGGAGTTACCAGAAGTCCACGCTTCATCACCCATCCAAATTTCTTTGTACGAATGTTAGAACATCACTGAACAGATAATCGTTAGCCAAAAATGGTTTGGACAGCTAATGTCCTCTACGTTCCTCTGGTCATTGTCATACTGTTCATAATGCAGCGTTTCTCTTCTGTTCAAATCTACCCATTTTTAATAGAAACTTCATTCATCTTTTTTGTAAATTTTTCCTTGTTTGGTTGGAAAGAAGGCTATTCGGTAACCCTGCACAATCCTGCTAACTGCACAGTTCCACAAAGACATTTCAATGTTCCCGCCCATCAATACTTCCACTAGATCCCTGTTTTTTTCATACCACATCAAAACTAACCGTCTTTGAGCATGAGATGTGTTATTTTGTTTTTTAAAAAGTACCAACCTGGGATGCTGAAAAGAATATGTACAGCAAATATATAAAAAGCAGGATGGACAGACTGAGAGACAATGGCAGCTAAGATTGCTGTGGCTTTTGGGAGAGCTAAACTGCAGCAGAGGAGGGTGCCCTTACAGTTACTCTGTCCTCATCAACCATCTATTTGCAGAGAACCAAACCTGTATTTTTAAAAAAGAGACTATCTTGAAGAGGCAACATTGAGAGTATTGTGGAGCATACGTTGTGAGAAAGTAGAGCTTCCAGGACAAAACAAAATAAAAAACCCCACCCATTCTCTGTACAAAACCAAAATCTAGGATGTATCTTTTTAAGATGGTTTCTTTTCCAGATCCCATTATTTTGAAGCAAAATAATTACAAGAAACCGGGCTGGGATTTTTAAGAATGTGTCACAGGGACACTGCTTAAATTTCAGTTTACGCTTATTGATTTTAGGACATGGAATGCCAACAGCACACTAA